CTCGAACGGCGAGGATTTTTCACGAGGAGGTCCTCGATGGTGTGCGCTAAGGTTGGATGGGTGCTAACACGGGTCAATTCGGCCAATGGCACTCCCCGTTTTATTACCCATGCCCCGACACACAAGTTCATGGTGCATGTCTTATTGCACATTCCAACGACACGCACACACGCGCGCGCGCGCGCGCGCGTACAAATCGTATAAATACGTGGACACGCGTGATTCCAACCTCCTTTCGCGGTATTTTACACGCACCCACGAATGCGCGGGCCCGATGTTTACAGACGCACACGTGTTCGTCGCGGCATACGACGAGTGAAACGAGAAGGTTCCCTCTCGGAATAAGAGTGCGTACCTCTTAGCAATAATAACCATTAAGGCGTGAGGGAATGCGAGGGGTGACGTCATCCCATTCAACATTCGTGATCCATCCAACACACTTGTCAACTTATTCAGCCTTCGAGGAATAAATTCTGAATGTTAATAAATCTCGCCAATCTTTCCGATCGTCTCGCGGTGCAACGCTCTCCCTCCCTTCTTTCGTTTAAGAATTTCTGCAAATCCGGACTTCCTGCTGGCGCACGAGTCGGTATCCACGGTTGTAAATCAGAAAATTAACCGTTTCCTTCGATTTCTAACGACGATTCGAATTTTATCTCGCCTGAGGACGCGATGAGGAATAATTAACTCGCTACGTGTCGAGCGAAATGGAATTTTTCCTTTTTTTTTTTTTTCAACATTATTACGAAACGTTGCGATAATTGAGCGAAACGATGGTGTGTTTGCTTTGTTAAAAAGGTTGATAATTGAGCATGGGAACCGGCATCGTGGCTTTTCCACCCTCTCTTTCGCGAGGGAAGGGAACACGAAGGAAAACACGAAGGAGCGCATTCCTACGAGGGAGGAAGATATAGAGATCGATATAGAGATAACTCGAGAAAATGGTTACTCGACATGTATCCGTTTGTGGCTTGTGGAGATTTTATTTATCGGGATCAGGAATTTCAAGCTTCCACCACGCTCGGATTTATACAGTTGTTAGTCATCGTGTATGAGATTTAATCGAAGAAGAAAGTCATGTGCGTTCTAATCGAGCATTCATAGCCGCATAGATACACGTAAGTACTTACACTTGGCGTTCCATATGACCAGACATAAAGTCTCGGTTGTTACTGTTCGAGACTTCCGGGTGTAGCGGTATCTAATAGGAATTATAGTGCTTATCCTTGTTGAGTGTTGCATCGGTATCGCAATTAGCTTTTTCACAGAATAAATTTAATATATATATATATTTATATTTTTTTAATCAGATCTAATAAAATTTCTATCGAAATGTTGTATCGTTATTGTATATATTTATCCTTTCAGGAGATAAATATTATACCTGTCCTTTTAATTGGATTGATCAATTCTTCTTATATATAAATTAACTCAATAACCACTGTAACCAAACCAAATTTCAAGTTCGAGATGATCGAATTCGCGACATAATTTAAAAAAAGATTGAATTCGTGCAGAAATGTTTTTTCATAAAAATTAAAAAAAAAAAAAAAATCGAGACTTTAGAGACTATAGAGGCTTAGGTAAGAAATCATTTCAAGATAAACTGAACTGGAATTACCGGTCGTATAGTTAAACATCGAGACGATGACGAAACATCGAGATATATAAAACAAAAAAAAAAAAGAAAAGAAAAAGAAAAATTCCCAGATGTGATTTATACACACCGAAATCTCGAACAACGATCGAGAAGTTTATGCTTCATAACAGCATTTGGAACGCAAACTGTACGTGAATCTATGCGCACGTTCGACCAAATCTCGGATGACGACTCTCTTACAACGTAGGTGTCTGACCGGATTTTCCACGGTTATTCATCGAATCTAAATTTAGGCTCGACCAAACTCTATTTCGCAGAAACAATATATTGGCAGAGGATACGAGACGAGAACGAGCACGCATTGACATTTTCGAACCGATATCCCGATGGCTAGAGCCGACCGCTCATAATTCCAATTTAGATCAACCTCGCGCCCCTTGCGTGCATCCCCTCCTTTTCTTTTCCTGGAAACGAGCGTCCTGGTCTCACGATTAAACGGCAATCTCGCATCTGAATAAACGTAACGGCAATTTTGCAATTTTATATAACCCGCATCTCTTCGACACGTATACAAAAGATAAAAAGAAAGAAGGAAAAAACGATGATCGATACGAGACGAGAGATCGACAAATCTTAAATAATCCTTTCCTATTTCGTTCCAAAGAAATCCGATCCAAGTCAAGTGTTTCGACCGATTTTTCTACGATGAATCGATGATTAAAAGTTCACGATAGAGTTGGAAAGGAAGCATAAATTTTGCCTCGAGTGTGCTCCCATCGGGGGATATAGTAACGTAATTGCACCCCTGCAACGACACCCTGACATTTTGCAGGCCGCATCGATCAGTCGATGCGGTTCTAGCCGATCTCACTGGCCGCTCTCGATTTACAATCTCCATCCTTTTGATTTGTGAGAGGGGGTGGCGAGGCAGGGACGAGTTGAAGACACGTAAGAAAAGTGGTGGTCACGTAAGGGCAAACTGTTTGGGGCAGGATGACGTGTACTGTTAGGATGAATCGCGAGCACGAGGCGGCAGGTCCTTTTTTTGGACATGTCGGGGATGACATCATCGTTTTGTTACGCGTGCGCCTAATGCAAAACGGTTTTGCGGTTTTCGAGCACGTCCGTTATATTGTTTCGTTTTGTTTGCCACGAAGTCACCGTTCGAATTTCTAATGGACAGAGAACAAAGATCGAGGAGCAAAGGTGATAAAAAGGTGGAGGAATAGGGAAGTGACAGATTCTCCGGATTTTCTTCCCCCTCCACTATCTCTATGTGCGATGTATCACGTTCTATTACGTTTTCTCGAATACCTGGTTTATGATGCATTGCGTATTGCAGTCTCTTTCACCTTGAACGCCGGATGTCCAGATCGTCACCGAGATGTCCTTTCCTTTGTCCCTGTCGTTGTAGCGAAATTCGAGGGAGGAGGAAGATTTAGAATTCAATATTATCGCGAAGGACAGTCGTAAATTTTCTGCACGAAAAGATTTAAAGTCGTTCGCCTTCCTTCAGTTTCTTGCATTGGCGTGG